CCTTCTCATTCCCGACGAGACAGTTAACGTGTCCAGCCATGTGTCTGGTCTCCCAGCCCTGGGATAATTATTATTCTGCAGTTGTAGCCATTTTCATTTTTCAATTATCTTGAGCAAAGCAGGGTAGTAATATTTATACACTGGCTTTCCATTCAGAAAGGACCAGCAACCAAAATAATAAGAGAAGGATTCTCTCCAAGGTTTCCAGACCTCCCCCATTAAATACTGCGACGCAATCTGAAATGCTTTTTCTGTCTCACTTAATGTAATCATGGGAGAAATGAGAAATAAAATGTATGTTCAAGAGATAGTCCTCAAGTTACTGCCATCCCAGCCACACAGCTCTGCGAGACGAGGCCAGCTGTAAGATTCAGATTTACGAGAGGGGTTACCTTTTAATTCAGGCTGTTTCCTACACCCTGACCTTCACACATGATTAGAGATAGAATGTCCATCATTGCAAAGACAAAGTAGATCAGCCAGTGATAAAAAGTACCTTAAACACAAAGGGAAGAAAGTCCATGGCACTTCGCGGCAGCCTCAGATCTGGACTTGCTGCTTATTCCGTCAGGCTGCAGTACCCCCTTCCAGAATATAAGCTCCTTGAGGGTGGGGGCTGCCTCCCCGTCCCGGGTTCACTCCCGTATCCCTGCACATGAAACTGTGGTACCTGGCACCCAGGGAGTGCTTGCTAAGTATTTGTTATCAAACCGACCAACTTGGCTGGGAAGTCACTAGATTTTTAGTTGCTGCCTAACAAATTACCACAGAATTAGCAGCTTCAAGCAGCATCCATTTATCATTTCATGGTTCCGTAGATTTGACTAGGTTCTCTGCCCAGGTGCACACGAGGCCAAAATCAAGGTGTCAGCTGGACTGAGCTGGCTCTGTCCTGAGGCTCTGGGCAACCTCCCTTGCAAGCTCCTTCACGTTGTCAGCAGGATCCAGTTGTGGTTGTGGGCAGAGGTTCCGAGGTCCCCACTGCCTTAGTGGCTGACCCATCTCTGCTCCCAGAGGTACCCACAATTCGCTCTCATATGGCCCTCTTCCATCCTTAAGGCCAACAGGGGCATACCTGGTTCTTCTCATGTTTTGAATTTCTGATTTTCCCTTCTGCCCCCAGCAAGAGAAAACACCTGTTTTTAAGAATTCATGTGACTGAATTAGGCCCACAAGGATACTGTCTCTATCTTAAGGTCAGCTGGTTAGTAGCCTTGCTAACAGAATCAGTTTTGCCCCATGACGTCCAGGATCACAGGACTAACCGAGGGGTCAGGAGGGCCATCTAGGATATTCCACTTACTGCACCATCAGTTGCAGTTTCTTTTCTTATTAAGGACACCCATCAGGAGCTCACACTTGTGTGTTCTTGTTATTTTGGTGATTGAGGAAAAGTTTCCATTGTTCATTGTGGTGGGAATGTACTCTGACGGTAGAAATAAACCAATCCCAGAGCATCCATCCTGCATGCGTTAAAGGACCTCCTCTCTGCAGGGAAGTTTGAGGAGGACCCTGCCATTTGACTGGGTAGCTTATGACATTTGCAGCGATCATTCCCAAGGGACCTAAAAAACGTGCGGCCTTCTTCAGCCTGTCACTCCCCATGATGGTATGATTTAGTTCAGCATCAGAAATCTCTGAGTGAGTGCATTTCTCTCTCTTCCACCTGGCCAATTCAGGCAAAGTTTTCTCACCCACCAGACCTCTGCTTGCTTCAAGTTGCAATGACCTGAGAGGCACACATTGTTCTAGAATGTTACCTGTTAGAGTATTTGAGAAATCTGGGGCCAGGCTAAAGATGACTCTTGCCTTGTGACCAAAGTCACACAGCAACAAATCAGAATTTCCCATTTGTGTCTATCACCCATAAACCCAGATCCTGGCACAAAGCAGGTATGTGCTAGGCACTAAATAACTGTTGAATGTCCGCAGTAAAGCTTATTTTAGGCATAGCCTAGGCAGTTCTAGCAGCTCTGTCCCTACCTATTAGTTTTACTAGCATCATCCTTTCATAATCATCCAGAGGTACCTGAAGCATCAGGTATAAAGCAACTGTATTATCTGAAACGTGAGCCCACTGCAGTATGCTTGAATGCCATATGCTGGGAACAAGCCTGGTGTTTAACCAGTCTGGCCTCTTCATCATAAGACAACAACTATGAACCAGACAATCCTTTAAGTCACTTCCAGTCTTAAAAATGTGTTTATAAATACTATGTCTAAATGCATTGAGGAAGTTTATTATTTACAAGAAGCCTGTAACAAATATCCTGGCAGAAATGAAAATCGCTATATTCATTTTCTATTGCCTCATTAACAAATTACCACAAACTCAGTGACTTAAAGGGCCTCCCAGGTGGCTCAGATGGTAAAGAATCTGCCTGCAATGCAGGAGACCCAGGTTCAATCCCTGGGTCGGGAAGATCCCCCTGGAGACATGAATGGCAACTCTCTCCAATATTCTTGTCTGAAGAATTCCATGGACAGAGGAGCCTGGCATGCTACAGTCTATAGGGTCCCAAAGAGTCAGACACAACTGAGCAACTAACACTTTCACTTTACTTTCAGTGACTTAGAAGCATTCATTCATCGTCCCATGGTGTCCATGGATCAGGAGTCAGGGCACAATATCTGGGTCCCAATTTATCTGGAGTCAGCATCTCCCAAGGCTGTGGTCAAGTTGTCAGCCAGGCTTCATTCTTTTTTATTTTTTAATCGTGCATTAGGAATGATGTTTCCTAGGCTCTTTTTTTTTTAATTTAATTGGAGGCTAATTACTTTACAATATCGTGGTGGTTTTTGCCATACTTCACAAGAATCAGCCATGGGTGTACCTGTGTTCCCCATCCTGACCCTCCCTCCCACCTCCCTCCCCATCCCATCCCTCAGGGTCATCCCAGTGCACCAGCCCTGAGCACCCTGTCTCATGCATCGAACATGGGCTGGCGATCTGTTTCACATATGATAATCTTTTCTGGAGCTTGGAGTCCTTTTCTAAGTCCATGTGATTGTTGGCAGAAATTCAATTGTTTGCATTTGTAAAACTCGGGCTCTATTCCTTGCTGGCTGAAGCCAGGAGCTTAACACTCTCAGCCCCATGAAACCCCCTGGAACTCCTTGCCACATGGCCCTCTCAAAACATGGCAGTTTACTTTTCTGAGGCTATCTGGAGCAACTTCCTCTCCAGTCTGCTGAAATGGAATCTTCTGTATGATACAATCAATCAAGGGAGTGGCAGTCCTTTAGCTTTTGCCATATCCTGTTTGCTGGAAACAAGACACAGATTCTATAAGAGGTGATTGTACAAGGGAGTAACTCACTGGGGGACACTTTTGGGGTATGTCCACAACACCCAGAAGCCCCTAATTTGATGGGTCAGGAGAGTTGTAAGCATGTCCTAATGTCTGAATTTGCTTAAAGGTAAAGGACTTTAGTCGGTGGGATTAAAGTCGCATTCCTTCTTCTGTGGCCCTCCAAGTCTGATTGAAAGTTCCACATCGAAGTAAATAAGTGATAAATGAAGCCCCTGATGTCATAAACATATCAATTCTCATGCCTCATCTAAGCAGCATCTAAAAGGCAGTTGGTGAATCTCACAGTATTTAATGTAAGAGATAAATCATAGAGTGAGGGCGGGGTGGAGAGAAGTCCAGAGGAACCAAGTGAGGAGCAGAGGTTCTGAGGGAGGAGCCGGGCTCTGGGGGCAGCTTCTTCATGGAAGCACCGTGTGGTCCTTGCCTGCAAAGTTGGTTCTCGACTGGGGACACTTCTCCCTTCAGGGACATCTGGCCATCTCTGGTGACATTTTGAGTTGTCGTGACTATGGTGGGGTGGACGGTACTACTGATATGTTAGTACATAGAGGCCAGGGATGCTGCTAACTACCATGCAATGCACAGGACAGACTTCACACAGAGATTTACCCAGCCCAAACTATCAGTAGGACTGAGGTTGGGACATTCTGCTATAAGTCCCCCAGGCTTGCCTGACCACTGCCGTGTACCTTCCGAAAGAATACTGAAGTCACTCCCTGCCCTCACTCGTCACCTCCCATGGGCAGGAGTAATGCATGATGGTGCTCCCCAAGGACCAGGGGTCTCCTTGAGAAGAGCGAGTGCCCTACGTTGTTCTGTGACCAGAGCACACACTGCCTCTGGTGGCCAGATGGTAGCTCCTGCCTGTGACTGCCCTCCTGCGCGCTGGAGAAAGCTGCTGGCTTCAGTTACCTGACAGGGAAAATGAAAGGATGGGAGACCACTCAACGCTGAGTGGAGAGAGGAGTGTTGAAGTTAGGAACAGTGACAGTAGCTACCATCGGATCTCTGGGAATTTCTGAACAGTGCCCAGCGAGCAGCCAGCTAGCCGTCCTCTTTCCCCTCAAGTTAGAATGAGGATGTTGCTTGAAACACTCATGGCTTAGCCACCTAGGATTTTATAATTTGGGGCAAACCTCTGGATTTGTTTTGATTTCCAGGTGGAGCCCAATACCAAAGTGTTTCCAGCCGTCTTCCTGCAGCCCACAAGCACCTCTCTGTTTCAGTTTGAACTTGGGAAGCTGAAGGTATTTATCTGTCCCTTGTCTAATGCTGTATATAAGAAGATGCACAGGCCATTATGGGGAGAAGCTCAGGCATGAGGAAACCAGGAAATCTGTGACCTCCTGCTTCTCAAATGCCACCCCCCCCCCAAAACCTCTACACGTCCATGTGAAATTCATGCAGCAGAACATAGGTTCCCACTTTCCCCTTCCACCACTTCTTTTGGGTGCCAAAAGGATTAATGGATGCTCGTATAACCCATCATGTCAGGTCTTTATTAGTGCTGGAGGAGCCCTCATTGGTGTCTGGATACATCTGTCTCTCTTTAATGTACGGCTCACTTTAATGTACTTAAAGTGTTGCTTATCACTGTTGCTTATCGTGGGCCGGGTGGCTTGTCCAGTCACTGAGCATCTCTGTGTTGCATGCATCTGACACCTTTCTGCCTTGCCCCAGAATGCCATGCCCCTGTCGGCAGCCATATTTAAGAGTGAAGAGAAGAACCCCGTCCCGCAGTGCCCGCCGCGGCTGGATGTCCAAACTATCCAGCCTGTGCTCTGGAGCCGCATGCCCAGCAGCTTCCTGAAGGTGGAGACGGAGAGGGTGAGCGAGCGCCATGGCTGGGTGGTGCAGTGCCTGGAGCCCCTACAGATGATGGCGCTCCACATCCCGGAAGAAAACAGGTAGTGGAGGGGCCCATGGAGGAAGGGGAGGAGTCAGGAGCTGGGCGGTGGGGGTGGAGTCAGGGAGGCAGGACCCCTCAAGCCGGGCGGGAAGGGGGAGGGAGCATCCTCATTGGCCAGGGTCCAGGGTGGTTGCTGATTGCCCCAAAGCGTGAGTTTCTCTTTTCTTTCCCTTCCCCACTTTAATTATTCACTCAAAAACAGGAGCAGGACATTCACCATGATGTGCCATCCATGGGGCTCTCACTGTAGCTCCAAGTTCTGCGCTCAGGGACATTTCCATGCCTTAAATTTTAAAAGGCATGGTCCAGAAATCTTTTATGATGGCCAACACTGGGAAGAATGAGGCAAGCCTAGATTGCTCGGAGAACCAAGAAGCAGGCTCCTGGCCCCCTCCTCACTAAGAGATGTTCCTGTTTTATGGCCTGGGTTCAGTTCCAGTGCTGCCACTTGCTGTCTGTGGCTCTTGAGTGATCTACTGATAGACCCCAGGCTTCAGTCTCCTCATCAATACAGTGAGATCAATGCTCACTCAATGGATTGCTGGGAGGGAAGAAAGGAAGTAGTATAGATAAAATCGAGTTCAGTTTCAGTTCAGTTCAGTCACTCAGTTGTGTCCGACTCTGCGACCCCATGGACTGCAGCACACCAGGCCTCCCTACCCATCACCAACTCCCAGAGCTTACTCAAACTCATGTCCATTGAGTCTGTGATGACATCCAACCATCTCATCTTCTGTTGTCCCCTTCTCCTCCCACCTTCAATCTTTCCCAGCATCAGGGTCTTTTCAAATGAGTTAGCTCTTAGCATCAGGTGGCCAAAGGATTGGAGTTTCAGCTTCAGCATCAGTCCTTCCAATGAATATTCAGGACTGATTTCCTTTAGGATGGACTGATTTGATGTCCTCGCAGTCCAAGGGACTCTCAAGAGTCTTCTCCAACACCACAGTTCAAAAGCTTCAATTCTTCGGGGTTCAACTTTCTTTGTAGCCCAACTCTCATATCCGTACATGACTACTGGAAAAACCATAGCTTTGACTAGATGGACAAAGGTCGTCAAAGTAATGCCTCTGCTTTTTAACATGCTGTCTAGGTTTGTCATAGCTTTTCCTCCAAGGAGCAAGCATCTTTTAATTTCATGGCTGCAGTCACCATCTGCAGTGATTTTGCAGGTCAAAACAATAAAGTCTGACACTGTTTCTACTGTTTCCCCATCTATTTGCCATGANGCAGCCCACCAGGCTCCCCCGTCCCTGGGATTCTCCAGGCAAGAACACTGGAGTGGGTTGCCATTTCCTTCTCCAATGCATGAAAGTGAAAAGTGAAAGTGAAGTCGCTCAGTCGTGTCCAACTCCTAGCGACCCCATGGACCACAGCCTACCAGGCTCCACCGTCCATGGGATTTTCCAGGCAAGAGCACTGGAGTGGGGTGCCATTGCCTTCTCTGTGAGTTCAGTTTATGGACATAGAATTAAGTAAGTTTTACTTCTGTGAATGTTATTATCCCTTGATCACTTGGACAGGAAAAAAAAAAATGGAGGGCAGAGCTACATTGACATCTGTGTAGCTCCCATTTAGGTATTCCGCTGGGTCATGGACAGCAGCAGCAGCACACGCACGTGTAAGGAAGGAGCAGAAAGGAGGAGTCCTGCCAAGTAAACTAATTGCAAAGGGTCCTCAGATTCTCAGTGAGAAACAAGACAAAATGGAAAAGTAGAAGCAGAGATCAGAGCCCATGCCCTGGGCCCCCACACCAATACACAGCTAAAGATCGTTACAGTCAGGATGGAGAAAGTGAATTGACAGCACCAACTCACCTCAGGTTAGAAAGTGTTTCCTCTTTGGACAAGAGTGTGGGCATGTGTTTATTTTCAGGAAAGGGAAAAACCCTATGGCTGATGGTAAATTAGAGATTACGTAGATGTGGCAGATGGTAGATTGATGGAGTGCTTTAGCTACATCTTCTTCAAGGGCAGAGGATGTCCTTGAGCCTACAAATAAGAAGACAGAGTCACCTGGCATGGACCTGAAAGCTCTCTGTATTGAGGTTTGGACGTTTGCCTAATGATGAGGACTTGCATGTTTGGTAAGCTAGTGTCTTCTCTAAGTCTTTCAGACTTTTGGGACCCTTATAGTTAGAAATAGTGGATTATCAGGAGCTGGGATATGGACCGAAACTGCGAGAGGGATAATAGCCTGTAAGACTCTATCTGCTCTGCCTTCCTTGGGTTGCGTGAAATCCGGGGATTCCCAGAGTGAGTGCTCTGCTGAATCCTGGCACACGGGTTCGCATGGAGGAAGTTCACATTCCCTCCGCACGGAGCAGCTGATTGCCTGTCTCTTGCTCAGGTGTGTGGACATCCTGGAGCTCTGCGAGCAGGAGGACCTCATGCGGTTCCATTACCACACGCTCAGACTGTACAGCGCCCTCTGCGCCCTGGGAAACAGCCGGGTGGCCTACGCCCTGTGCAGCCACGTGGACCTGTCCCAGCTCTTCTATGCCATTGACAACAAGTATCTCCCTGGCCTCCTGCGCTCAGGCTTCTATGACCTGCTCATCAGCATCCACCTGGCCAGCGCTAAGGAGAGGAAGCTGATGATGAAGAATGAGTACATCATCCCCATTACCAGCACCACCAGGAAAATCCGCCTGTACCCGGATGAGTCCAAGAGGCACGGGCTTCCTGGGGTGGGCCCGAGAACATGCCTTAAGCCAGGGTTCAGATTCTCCACCCCCTGCTTCATCACCACCAACGAGGAGCACCAGAAGCAGAGCCCCGAGATTCCCTTGGAGCTTCTCAAGACGAAGGCGCTGGGCATGCTGACGGAGGCGGTGCAGTGCAGCGGGGCTCACATCCGGGACCCCGTCGGGGGGTCCGTGGAGTTCCAGTTTGTGCCTGTGCTGAAGCTCATCGGAACCCTGCTGGTCATGGGGGTGTTTGATGATGATGACGTTCGGCAGATCCTCCTCCTCATCGACCCCTCTGTGTTTGGGGAGCACAGTGGGGAGACGGAGGAGGGAGCAGAGAAGGAGGAGGTGACGCAGGTGGAGGAGAAGGCTGTGGAGGCTGGGGAAAAGGCCAGCAGGGAAGCTCCCATCAAAGGCTTGTTGCAAACCCGATTACCGGAGTCCGTCAAGCTGCAGGTAACCCTGGGCAGCCAGCATCCTGCCCTTGGAAAGAACTAGGGAGGGAGACAGGGCAGCCTGGTGATGAGGTGTGCACTGTGGACATGGGCCTGAATGTGGAGTGGGGCAGAGATGCTGAGGGAGGGCACCCCCTGGTCCTGCTTGTTTCTAAGCTGGAAGGTACTCTCTCAAAGTGAAAGTGTTAGCTGCTTAGTCGTGTCCAACTCTTTGCGACCCTATGGACTGTAGCCCACCAGGCTCCTTTCTCCATGGGATTTCCCAGGCAAGAATAGTGGAGTGGGTTGCCATTACCTTCTCCAGGGGTTTTTTCTGACCCAGGGATCAAACCCATGTCTTCTGCATTGCAGGCAGATTCTTTAATGTCTGAGCTACCAAGTCTCCCTAAACCAAAATGAGAATACCAGCCCTCATCAATAAGGCACATGCTTTAGAATTATTTTTCTGGTACCAGCGATAGATTTTCCCTGATCTTATCTCCGACTCCTTGGGACTAAAGGGTTTATTGGTGAGATCTTATCTAGAGACAGGGAGGAGCCTTTGGCTGTGGATTTGACCAAAGGAGCTGGCTTATAGGATGACAGCCCTCATCACCTACTCTCATGCATTGCCATACCCTGATCACCAGGCTGATGTGGGCCTGTTATACTGGCATTCAAAGAAGATGCCATCTGAGCTAAGAGTCCTGCTCACTTAGAGTTTCCCCCCTGGCATCACCTGAGGAACCTCAGTATTTCTTAAAACATAGTCTTACTACACATGAGCCAACATCAGTGATGTACTGAGGATGATGGTGATTTTGTCTTTTCAGCACTGAGAAAAGAGAAATGAAAAGAAATAGAGGAGAAATTGACATAGTATTGTAAATCAATTGTACTTCAATAACATTTTTTTAAAGTGAAAAAAAAAAAAGAAAAATGGAGGAGAGGAGTTTGTCTTAATGGAGTGAGCCTGGTCCAGGCATTCCTAGATTTTAATTCCTGCTCCTCGCCACTTACTAGCTAAATAAATTTGCCAATTTAGTAGCCCATCAGTCTTAGCTTTATGATTTGTAAAATGTGGATGGTGATATAATAAAACAATATTAAAATGTTTTTATAAAATATAATTTTAAATATATTTAGCATAAAATATAAAAAGTAATCTGCAGTTAAGTTCTCTTATCCAATGTGATGGTGGTTATTTCATCAAAGCATTAAATATAGAGCAGAAGCATAACAAATTTCACATATGTACCTTAAATATTTTATTAAAACATATAAATGTGCTATTCTGATGGAGGGCCAAGACCTTTTCTTTAATGTGAGTTCCTGACTGGCACATAGAATCCTCTCCTCCATGGATATTACCTGTCATGCACCGTCTATGATTGCCAGTCTGGGGTCTTTAAGGTACAGTGAGGTCTAGAGGTAATCGAAAGCAAGCTGAGTGCAAAATGCTTCTGGATTTTTGTGATTTTCCTAATTTTTTATATTTGTCTAACACTTAATTTTAGCGTTTTTTTTTTTTTTTTAACTTGCCTTTCTCAGATGTTCCCTAGTCACTCAACTTAGTTTTCCTATTTTATTGACCCACATGACTTTAAATGGTAGTTACAGTCACAAGGAGAACGGGTGTAAGAGATGGGTCCAGTTTACCTGGTGGGAGCAGAGGCTGTTCTGGGCGATGGCACCCCACCACCAGGGGCCTTGTCTGTGCCTAGAGACACTGAGGGTGCTCCTTAGTCATGTGTGTGGTGTTAAGTGGAGATGGGTAAATAGAACTCCTGCTTTAGTAAAACTCAGGAAAATACACATAAAGTATGGCAAGCGCCTGGCACAGTGTCTGGCAGATAGCTGGTGCTCAGTAAGCTACAGCTGTGGTTTTTCTTATTAGTATAAATTCTAGTATCATAAGATTAGCTATAACAATCCCGATAAATTGATCAAACAGTGCCGATAAGCAAAAGCAATGAAAGATTCAGAGAGAAACCAAAGACTCACTTTCCCATCATCCAGAACCAGAAGACGTCAGGAAAAAGACTCAGTCCTCAGATGTACTGTTTGGTGGTGGTCTCTGTACTGAGCTTAGAGCCCTGGGAGAGCACTCTCCTACATGCTGTTCTCTGTCTCCACAGGCAGACGTGCTCCATGTCTGATGAGCTCCTTTTCCTATTGTGGTTGTGGTCTCCGCAGTGAGGAACTAGGCTCCAGCTTCAAATACTAATCCAGAGTCGTCCAGTAATAGCCAACTTGGATTCCAGTAATAGCTCTGTGGTTACTGTGTAACACTGGGCAAGTTGAATTGTCTAAGCCTCAGTGTTACCATCTGTAGATTGGGAATGATCATTGCATCACCAGTGGACATGAAATGTTGTTATATCCTCACGTGTGCACACTTTTACAGATGTGTGAGCTGCTCAGCTACCTCTGTGACTGTGAGCTGCAGCACCGGGTGGAGGCCATTGTGGCCTTCGGCGACATCTATGTCTCCAAGCTCCAGGAAAATCAGAAGTTCCGCTACAACGAGCTCATGCAGGCCCTGAACATGTCTGCGGCCCTGACCGCCCGGAAGACCAGGGAGTTCCGCTCGCCCCCACAGGAACAGGTGAGAACCTTCCGGTCTGTTCCTAGGGAAGAACTGCACCCTCTGGAGCAGGGTGCACACAGCCTTTATGTGAAAGGGGGTGGGCAGCCATGAGAGCTAAGGGAGATGGAAAGACCTCAGCCAGCACCAGCAGACAGGCTAGTCCTGGGCTGAGGAGCTGATAAGCATCTCCAGCCGTCTTGGGTGGTAATTACTTTCCTAAAACCTGTTTTATAGGCTACGGATATTTATACTGGCTTAAAAGGGAACCACCTCTCTGGGCTTTTTAAGATTCCTTTGAATGATACTGGCCTTGATAAAGAGCAGATGGAGCTTCACAACCCTTTGCTAGAGGCAAAATAAGAGGCCCTGAGGATGGATGGGAGCAGATACTTTGTGCTGTGCTAAGGAAAATGCAGTGAGTGTGTAGTGAGCGAAGTGCAGTGAATTATTCTTGAAGGCTTTACAAATGTTGTCAGGCTGCTTTTAGACTGGCAACAGGTGTGAACATTCCCTGTTTCGGCTGGGCAGATGCTGACTCACATTTGTGAAAAATGGGATGGCAGATGATGTGGTGATTAAAACACCGGTGTTGGCTTCAGAGCCTGGCTGCCATTCCGGCTCTGCCATCACTCATGGTATAGTCTGGAGCATATTACTTCTCTCTGTCTCAATGTCTTCAGGCTGCAAAATGCAGAAAATGTTTGTGAAAATCCCATGAGATAATTCACTTAGATCGCTTGGCAGGAAACCAGCCACGTAGTAAACATTCTATAAGTAGGAAGAGCTGTCATCAGTTTTAGTGTCAGAGGTATTTGCATTTGCCTCGTGCCGTGTTAGCTCAGTTGGTAAAGAATCTGCCTGCGGTGCTGGAGACCCAGGTTCAATCCCTGGGTGGGGAAGATCCCCTGGAGAAGGAAATGACAACCCACTCTAGTATTCTTGCCTGGAAAATCCCATGGATAGAGGAGCCTGGCAGGCTACAGTCCATGGGGTTGCAAAGAATCAGACACGACTTAATGATTAAACCATGTTCTATGACCTTCTGTCAGTGAACCAGTGACTAGAATTTACACATGTTTTTCTGGCATCTCCTCAGTTCAACCAGGACTGCATTGTCCATCTGACATTACCTTTATCAGCACAGCTCATGATCCTGGCTCCTGGGGAAGAACCCTTTCACTCTGGCTGCGTTCTGCCTCCTGACCTTCTCTTCTGCCATCGTCAGGGCCCACCATCACTTCCTCCTCTAACCTTGTAGGCAGTCCTCTGAACAATCATTTCAGACGCCTCTCAGAAGTCTGTCTCTTAAGAACTTCTTTCCTTATGTGTTAGAACAGTGATTCTTGAACAGACATCAGAATCCCTGGAAGACTTAATAAAACACAGATTGCTGGTCCCACCTCTAGAGTTTCTAATTCAGTAGGTCTTGGGTAAGTCCTGAGAATTTGCATGTTTAGCAAGTTTTCAGGTGATGCTGAGGTGCAGGGACACTCTTACCAAACTCAGTGGTCTCCTTTGCCACCCCTCCCAGAGTATTCATTTCTAGAATAATCTACCATAGAACTTTCTAGATAATTAAGAAGTTAATAAAGGATTTGGAGGATTTCAATCAATTTTAGGTCATAGGAATGCAAGATCACTTGGAAAATAGGATATATAGGAATTAGAATTTTAAAACAGTGATATGATTACCTCACTCTTCTGTTACTTTTGAGAATAAAATAGAGATTTTCAGCCCTATATCCATTCACTGTTTAAAAAGATGAAATAGAAACATACTTGGGGGGTGTAACAAGTACAAAGGTAGGTAAAGCTAGGATTAGTCCAGTGATTGTTGGCAAATTATCCAAGCATAGTCAGCCAGCCTTTCACTTTGAAAAGCACTTCATTAGAGGGTATGACCTGTAAAAGAAAATTCAGCTCACTCCCATTTTTAGTTATGCCCTGAGGGCTCCCACTTGCTTCCTAAGTGTTCCACTGAAAGGAAAATCTTTCAGTAAAGAAATTAACTTTCTGATTCTTGGAACCAGATCCTCAGATCTTATTTTAATGAACAGCTCATTGATATATGTTGCTGATACAGTTACCATAATTCAACCAATTTTACCATAATGAAACAACTACAAAAATGATGTTTCCAACCTGTTTTATGCATATTATATAAACAGTACCTCTACTTTCAAAAAATTATTTGCAGTAGAAGCTCTGAATAAGGATCTTCCTAACAATATTAAATAAGGTTCATAGTTTAATAAAAGATATTATAAATGTTTTCACCTAGAAATCCCAAACAAAAGGAGAAAATACCCCTTTGCCTGGTGTTTGGGTTACCCTATATGATATAGTAAAATGGATAAGATTACCTCTGGTTATTTTTGTTTACTTATTTATGGCTGCAGTGGTTCTTTGTTGCTGTGCATGCGCTTTCTCTCTAGTTGTGGTACACAGACTTCTCATTGCAATGCCTTCTCTTGTATGGAACTCAGACTCTTAGCACAAGGGCATCAGTAGATGCGGGTTCAGTAGTTGCATCTCACGGGCTTAGATGTTCCACAGAGTGTGGAATCTTCCCAACCAGGAATTGAACCTGTGTCCTCTTTATTGGTAGGTGGATTCTTAACCTCTGGACCACCAGGGAAGTCCTACCTCTAGTTATTACTTCAGTGCCTCCAGATATTTACTAACCAGAGTCATGGGTCTGTGGAAGAATTTAGACATCTAGGAGTATGAGTGTTAGCTTTATTTTTACCAAATTTTCATTAATTTCTAATAGCACTTCTTTCAATTATTGATGTAGGCAGCAAAGCAAATACTTGACTTTGTCACCCACAGAGGTTATATATTTTTTCATATGGTATCACAATGGTTCTAATACTTGGTAATATCATTTACATTCATCACTGGTTCAAGATCACAGTGGGTATGAGGGCTACCCCTAGATCTTTTTGTCTAATGAATTAATAAATAAGTATAAATGTTACTATATCACAAATATGTTTTTTATGATCTTGATAATTAGATTTCATTATAACTGTTTCTCTTTGTAATCCCTAGCATTTTATTTTAGGTATTTAAAATATTAATTTGAGAAAAATATCCATGGGTTTCACCAGACTGTCCAAATAGTACGTGCATGCTTAGTAACTAAATTGTGTCTGATTCTTTGCAACTCCCACAGGCTATAGTTTGCCAGGCTTCTCTGTCCACGAAATTTTCCAGGCAAGAATGCTGGAGTAGGTTGCCATTTTCTATTCCAAGGGATCTTCCCAACACAGGAATTGAACCTGCATCTCTTGCATCTCTTTAATTGGCAGGCAGATTCTCTTCCAATGAATCACTGGGGAAGTCAGTGTAGTCCATGGCACAGAAACAGTGAAGCACCTCTGACATAAAATTGTACAGGAAAGGATGATAGGCTGGCTGCAAAACATAAAACTGACATGTCAAAAAAATTCTATAAACACAATTAAAAGCTCACTAAAAACTGGGAAATGTATTTGGAATTGTGACCCCATGGACTAGCCTACCTACAGTAGGCTCCTCCATCCATGGGATTTTCCAGGCAAGAGTATTGTAGTGGCTTGCCATTTCCTTCTCCAAGAATATATATTACCAAGAGATAATAATCTATAGAGATGTGCAAAGCACTTGCCAATTAATTTTTAAAAGATAATCACACAACAGAAAAGTGGAGGAAGAACATGGATGGGAAATTTTAAATGATGAGATGAAAACAGTCCTTCTGTGTGAAAAAACAGTTCAATCTCACCAATTAAATGCAAATTAAAGCAACAGGGATATGATACTTTTTACTCATTAGATAGGAAAATATTCGAAAATATGTTAACTCTCATTACTGTAATGGAGTTGGCAAAGTAATACACACTCTTGTATAAATTTGGTAATATTGCAAACTGTTGTGAGTTTTCTGGAGAGCAATCTGGCAATTCATATCAAAAGCCATTAAAATGTACAAACCTTTTGATCCAGGCATTTCACCTCTATGAGTTTATCCTAAGAAAATAAACAGAAATGTGAACAAAAATTAAGTAAAAGTAAATTCAAACCAACTTTATTTACAGGGATGAAAAAAATGAAAGCAACTGAGATATTTCAGAGCAGATCATTAATTTTACATACATTTTATATAAATTGCTATTCATCCTTGTGATGAAATGCTGTGCACCTGTAAGAGATCAGGTTAAGAACATTTTTTAATGCTTGAGATAAATTAAGTTGAAAAACTAAGTTTCAAAAAAGTCAAAAACCACTGCAATGATGTAAAGTAATTAGTCTCCAACTAGTAAAAATAAATGAAAAAAAAAAATGTCAAGTTAGATTCTAATCTCAATCTGCCTACATAGAGATATTAACTAAAATATTAACAGCAGCTATCTCAGTGGGAAGATCTCAGTAAATTTTATTCCTTGGTTAATCAAATTCTGTATTACCTTTATAGTCAGAAAAAAGTAAAAGCTACTTTTATTTTTTTAGCAACTCACAGTTTATGGCTTTATTTCATTAGTGTATTATTTACGTCTTTGTATTCTCATGACCCATCTCTCCAAAGATCATTTAAGATCATCATAAGATCATTATGCATGCCTTGAATGCATGACTTTCTTCTCAGAATCATGCATTCCTTCTTTTTTTTTTTCATTTATTTCTATTAGTTGGAGGCTAATTACTTTACAATATTGTAGTGGTTTTTGCCATACATTGATATGAATCAGCCATGGAT